GTCATTGCGGTTACAAAGAGGATACGCTGAGTTCCAAAAAAACTCATAAAGTGTAAACCCAAGGGAAGAAACAAAACCCAGAATTCAAAACAAAAGCCTCATAAAATAAATTAGCTAATTACAAAGTCAAACTAAAGGAAAATAGGTCATCATTTATTACAAATATAAAATTATACTACTTTCTGCCTTGAAAATTGAGTCTATTAATTTTGCTACATTCAAGAAAAACTATAATAACAATGAAATCACTCTAAGATGTTTCCTATTTAAGTTTCTAAATTCGAAATTTTAATTCAAATTTTTAATTCTACCACTTCTTGATGCATTGAAATTGATTAAGTCTATTAATGATATTTATTATTATACCTAAAAAAAAATTGCACGAGTAATTCTTAACCCTATTAATATCCCACTATTGAGCTTAATTAGTAAAAAAATAAAATTATTTTGTGTATAAATAGTGGCTGGGGACTCAAAACCCAGAATTCAAATCAAAAGCCTCATAAAACAAATTAGCTAATTACAAAGTCAAACTAAAGGAATTATAGATTAAACAACAAAATATTTAAAATTATATATAATGTATAGTTGATTAAAAAATAATTTAAATTCGAAATTTAAATAAAAAATAAGAAATGACATATCTTCTATATCTATACTAAAGAAAAATTATTCTTTGGCAAGTTGCTGACTGTTGCTCTCTCCCCCAATATCCTCATTCATACTACATACCACTTTAATTTTTTTCACTTTTAAAAACTTTGCAGATTTGAATTTTTATTTGTTAAGTGGGAAAAGATTTCAGCATTCATTACAAAATATTTCACTTTTCCGATTTGAATTTTGAAATTTGAACAGGATGTGTGTGAAAATAGGTTATCATTTATTACAAATATAAAATTACACTATTTTCTGCCTTGGAAATATAGTCTATTAATTTCGCTACATTCAATAAAAACTATAATAACAATGAAACCACTCTAAAATGTTTCCTATTTAATAAGTTTTTAATTCAAATTTTTAATTCTACCACTTCTTGATGCATTGAAGAAGTTCAAAATTTAATCATCTTATTTTCAAATTTTAAATTTGGAGTTCAAAATTTAAATTTGATTTTTAAAAACTGACAACTCAATTAATGTTCACCTACTTTCTCCATTGGAATTGTTAAACGTTTAACAAAAAATACACACCTTCTCATTTTTTTTAGTCATTCACTTATTTTCACATCTTCTTCTTTCTCCTAATTAACTTGGGTTAAAAATGCTGTTGATATTGGTCTATGCATGATGGCTTGATAACCCAACTTTTTTTAATTATTCCTTTTGCAAGCCAGTAACCATTCATATTCTCCATCATAAATGGGTATTTTTTTCATTAAATATTTTGGACAATACCGAAGAATGGGAGAATGTTTTACACATTTCAACTAATTTCCTTTAAATGTATTACATCATTACACATTTTTTTCATTAATGCAGTTTTCTTTTCTCGATAAAGCGTAGGGAATAGGCATGTAAATTTGTGATACGTTAATCCTTAGCTATAATATTTGATGTGGTAAATTTTAAAAGGATGCTCACGTTGTGGTAAATTTGACGTGGTAATAATATTTTCGTATAGCTATATATTCTTAGCTATGATACGTTGAATTCAAAAGGCTGCACTACTCCTCAAAATCCACAATTTTGTTTTTTAATACATCAAGAAAATCCACATTTCAAATAATATTTGCATTCTAATAGGAAGTTGGGTATGTTTTGATTTCCTGGAGAATATGGTATCACAAATTTGATCAATAAGTGTGCGAAACCAAAGCAGAGAAAATAGGACACTCCTGCATTGCAAAAAGATGTTTGTCATTAAATATTTTACAGATTATTTTAATGTTTTCTCTACTTTCTGCATGAAAAATTGTTAAGCCTATTAATAATATTTATTATTATGTCTATTGGGTGGAAAAATATTTAATATTTAAAATTCAAACTTTTTAAATTTGAATTTTAAACTTGATATTTTAATTCTACAACTTCTTGATGCATTGAAATCGTTAAGTCTATTAATGATATTTATTATTATACCTAATTTTTTTTTGCATGGGTAATTGTTAACCCTATTAATATTCTATTACTTTTTCAAAATTTGAATTTTAAATATATATAGGTGGGAAAGGAGTTTAATATTGTTAATTTAGTGACAAACAGCTGCACTAATAATACTTTTTGCATTGGTAATTGTTAAGTCTATTAATAATATCATTAATTTTTTCATCGAAAATAAAATTGATTAATGATAATAAAATCCCTTATGAATACAATTGATTAGTGATGAACATTTGAATACAGTTAATAATGACTTGATCAAAGCAATTAATGAAATCAATACTTGCACTTTACTCCTTTCAGAAAAACGATCCAACTTCTATGAAAGTCATTAATTTTGGTACACATTATTTTCAATCCTTGCACTTTACCTATCTATCTATCTATATATATATATATCAATACTAATTACTTATTTGAAATGATGAGTGTCTCTGATATTTTTAAATTAAAAATATTAAATAACAAACCAAAAATATAATTAATGCAGTTTTTTAAAATGAGCATTTCAATTTCAATTTCTTCAAACGGCACAAATCCTTATAAAAAAAATAAGATAGCAATTAAAAACTACATTTCAACCTTCAAAATGAGCATTAAAAACTACATTTCAATTTTTGTAAATACAAATTTGTAAAATTTCAAATACAAAGGACACAAATCCTTGCAAAAAATAATTATTTATTATTACTTTTCAAATCTGATTGTAATAAATTAAAGACCATCTCTGAAATCAACATCAACATCAACATCACCTTTATCCCAAATTAATTGAGGTCGGTGGTAGATGAACCCACATGAAAGATACAGAACGGTTGAAAAAATAAAATAAAAATAAAATAAAATAAAATACAATAATATATATATATATATATATATATATATATGTATATATATAAATAAATAAAAGTAAAAAAGAAAGGGACAAGAAGAAGTGGGGGAGATGAAGGGGAAAAGGACTAAAAAAGGACCATCTGGAACATAGGAATAACAACGGGTCTAACCCTCCACCATACTTATAGCTTTTCTCCATTTCGTTCTAAGACATACCGTCCGTCAATCTATATCTCACTCCATTAAATCTTATTTTACCACCTTCCCTCAAGTAAGTTTCGGCCTACCTTTGCCTCTTTTTGTGTTGAGCTCTTGGTAACAAACTTCGGTTCTTACAGGAGCATCCAAGGGCCTTCTCATCACGTGCCCAAACCACCTCAATCTATGTTCTCTCATCTTCTCGGCTACTGGTACTACTCCGACCTTTCGTCGAATATCTTCATTTCTTATCTTATCTATCCTTGTGTAACCACACATCCACCTTAACATCCTCATCTCTGCTACTCCCATCTTATGCTCATGTTGCCTATGTGCTGGCCAGCATTCCGCGCCATATAGCATTGCCGGTCTTACTGTCGTTTTATAGAATTTTCCTTTTAACTTAAGAGGGATTTTGCGATCACACAAAATACAAAAGACCATCTATGAGATAAAATATAAAAACCTAAATGTGACTATAAGAACCTTTTTTTATGTGGATAAATACAAAAATATATTGCATGCTCATAGTCAGATGTGGCAAACTGGACTCGGCCCGAAGGGCCGGCCCACCAACACATTTTTATAATTAAATTAAAATTTCATCCTTCTTCTTTTATAATTAAATTTCTAAATCTGATTTTAATTTTTGTAAATACAAATTTATAAAATTCAAAATGCTAATGACACAAATCTTTGCCAAAAAATAATTATTTACATAAAATACTGATAGTTAAAGGTTGCAATCTGGGTTGTTTACAAAAAAAAAAAAAGGTTGCAATCTGGGTTTGCCCAGAGGGCCTTTCTGCCCCGCCTGCCAACTAGGGGTGTTCATCAACCGATCCAAACCGATTCAAACCGCGGTGACCGAACCGAAAAACCGATAACCGAATAAATCGAAAACCGAAAAACCGAAAACCGATTAAAAATCGCAAATTTTAATTGGATTGGATCGGTTTTTGGATGGGTTGATGAAAACCGATCCAATCCAAACCGATCCAATATATTAATTTCCCTTTACCTACTTGGGTATTTCCCTAAGCATAACCTAAAAATTTCTAAACTCAAGACCCATTAACCATCAATTAAACCCAAGAAAAAATCTAGTCATATCTCATCAATAAAATTTTATCTTTGTAGAGCTTCATATCTCATTGTCAAAATTAAAAAAAGTATATTATAGTTTACTAATGCTTTTGTATTTCAAAAAAAATAATTTACAAAGCCAATATATACAAAAGATGTTATTTGCACAATAATCATGAATTAAATTTTAAGATTTTCAAAAAACCAAAAACCGATCCAATCCAAACCGAAAAAAATTAGATTGGATCGGATCGGATTTGAAAAAAAATCAAAACCGAATGGATGATTATATGATCAAACCGAAGGGATTGGATCAGATGATTTTTTCTTCCAAAACCGATCCAATCCAGACCGCGAACACCCCTACTGCCAACACATTTTAATAATTAAATTAAAATTTCACTATTCTTCTTTTATAATTAAATTCCTAATTCAGATTTTAATTTTTGTAAATACAAATTTATAAAATTCCAAATACTAACGGCACAAATCCTTATAAAAAAAATAAGATAGCAATACAGGTTTTTATAAGTATAAGGTTTGCAGTGCGATTAATCAACTACGGCAGACGACAAATATTTTGATCTTTTCCCCCGTGCATCGCACAGATAATACACTAGTATCATTTAAAATGACAGACACCAACGCCAACATACTCAACTTTTAAATGTTGTTTACGTGACAAAAAGAAAAAAAAAAAAAAGACCAATATCTCGATTGTTTCAAGTTTCAACCCCATTGTGTTCAAAACACCAACACAAAATTTTGTGTTCTGTCCCCTTTGTTTATAGTGAAACAAAAAATTATCCAAACTTAACGAGTGGGGCTGAACTCAGAATGAGACTCAGTAAGATGGGGAGGGAAGACGCAAGATACTATCAATGTTGAATTTAGAATCTCAACTTCGCAAATCGAAATCGCCCAATTCCTCTTGGTAACCTTGATTTCCTCAATCAATTCTTGCTTTCTTTTTTTATTATTTTGATTTTGCTGGGTGCATGGTACTTTACTTTCTCCAGTTGACTCTGCTCCACCGTTTATTTGTTGCAGAAATCTAGTTTTTGGGGAATACCCATGTTTTAAAATCCTGGGTATGTATCAAAATTGCATATTTCTCGCGGGTATATTGTTTGAAAATATTTCTTACTTTTTATGATTATGTTGGGTTTTTACTTCAGTTGTCTCTCTGTTCTTTTCATTCACAGGGTTCTTTTTTTTTTTTTGTTCTATTTTTCACCTTTGAGGTTCATTGAAATTTATGTTTATAAGGATTTGTGCAATGAATTCTATTGGGTTAAACGGAAATGGAATCCAACTCCTCATGTTTCAGTCTGTGCTTATTTGAGAAGGTAGAATGGAATGGGATGGATGAGTTTATACTTTCACATATTGGAGCTTGCTAGAGAGGGTGGAATATGGAAAGGATTAAAAATCATTATACTTTCCTCTTACTTGGTAAGAGTGAACATTATTGTTGGAAATTCATAATTAAAACAATCTATCCCTCGTTTGAAAATTTGTGAGTCCAAAGTGAGAATGAGCTCCACTTTGATGTACCTAGAATTGACTTGGAGTCATGCTTGTGTGCCTCTGCCAGCGTCAATTTTGTATTTTTAGGCTTATTTTTATTTCTAGTGGCAATATTGTAATTTTTCATTTTTTTATGTTAAAGTATAGAAGTGCAAGAAGTAATAAATACAAAAATTAAGTTTTTATGTTATAAAATATCCAAAAAAATATTTATATCTTCGTTACTTTTGATGTAGTATTAACTTCGATCAGTGTCTAATTAATCAAGTAATGACATGTATTATTGTAAAAGTTGCTTCTATGTCCTCTATATTCAGATGCATAACTTCTTTACTATCAGCATTTACCATTGAATCTTTTTCTGTTGGTTTCTTTTTTCATCCTTCCCCCTTCTCTGCCCTTCTTTTCTTATCTTATTGAAATATTAGATGTTTTAGCAAGCTGTTGCATTGTTCTGAAGTTTGAACGGTTGAGTGATCAATAATTCTATCTGGGTAGTGAATTGTCTGCAATCATGTTTGATGCATATTGAATATTCTATTGCTGTATTTCATTTTATATTCAAAATGCCCATTAGTGCCAAGACGATTTTCTAGATAATATTTGTTTGGATTTTACATGCAGCAAAGATGGAAGCAGACTATGGAAGTAATTGTGCCAAAATTGAGAAGATGGGAAATCTTTCTGTTCCCCCTGGTTTTGCATCCTTAACATCTTTCAATTTGAAAAGGGTTGGAAAGGTTAAGAAAACCGATAAATCGACAACTGCATCTGAACATGAGCCAGTCCATGTGGAAATTAAACCTGAGATGAATGGAATTACTGCATATAACCAGATTCTTATGCATCGCCCGTGGATAATCTTGGACCAGAGCAACCAAAAACCTGAGGAATCTCACACAGAGCATCTTCCTATGGTTAAGTTGGGAATCTTGCAATTTTTTTTTATTTTTATTTTTTGCTATTGATTAGATTACTAATAAATTCAAACTAGAAAGGCATAGCCCCAGTGTGCAGACAATAGCTTGTTGCTGTTTGTTTTATATCGGGTAATACTTAATTGTTAAACAATGACTATGAGACACATTAATGATTGATATGTCCTTAGGTGGTGGGAAAACTACCTTGATTAGAATGGAATTTTGTTGATTGTATCTTCTTGTTGAAGTTCTTCATTGTTATTAGGACTCTAATTACATGTAAATAGCCTGTTTAAAATGCATATGTGCTTGAATGATGTGTCCGGTGGTTTGGTACAGGATTTCTGGGCTTCTCAGATATTTGTTCAGGAATTAGATTAGAATTAGGCAATATCTCATTACTGGTAGTGGTAGAACACGCACGCACGCACGCACATAAGTACAATTATGATTTACACTGTGGATGACTCAATAGCAAGTCATCTGCTTTTGTGTGCAGAATTACAGTCAGAGTGATCTCATGACTGGATTCTGTTTTAAGTATGGAAGCAAAATTAATTATATGGGCTAAAACTTTTCTTTTCCAGGATATCCCTTCAAATGCTTGTCGTCCAAAAGGAACTATACGTGGATGTCCAAATTGCAGTAATTGTCTGAAGGTAAACATGTCATTCACTTCATTTTTCAACATTGTGACAGATATGACCACATCTCTTATAATTTTTTATTTATTTATCAAAATCTTGAAGCAGGTAACAGCAAGGTGGAATCCTGAGGATGCAAGAAGAGAAGTCCTGGAAGAAGCTCCTATTTTTCACCCAACAGAAGAGGTACCTACCACCTAAAATTAATACTATGCATTCACTTTTTTGTTTCCTTGTACATGTCTTGATTTATGTCACCAAATGTGGATTAATTGCTTGTTGGGTTTATAGAATAAAATGTTTTAAGTAATTGTGTACACTATGAAGGAATTCAAAGACACACTTAAATATATTGCAAGCATACGTTCCAGAGCAGAACCTTATGGAATTTGTCGTATTGTCCCTCCTACTTGCTGGAAACCACCATGTCTTCTTGAGGAAAAGAACATATGGGAAAACTCCGAATTTGTTGCTCAAGTTCAACGAATTGATGGACACCAAATTCAGCATGCAAAAGAAATTATGGCTAGCTCTTGTGAAAATACAAAGACAAAGAGAAGAAGAGGCACAAAAGTAGCTTTGGACTCTCAGCTTGGTAATAGAAGCACTTGCACAACAAATAACCAGAATATTGAGGACTATGAGTCTGAACCCGGTCCAAAATTCAGTCTCAAAACGTTTAAGAAACATGCAGATGAGTTCAAGATCCAGTACTTCAATTACAAGGAGAAGAATAAGATCATGGATTCTGATATAAATTTAGCTATACATCAACAGCAGTGGGAGCCATCTGTGGAGAATATTGAGGGTGAATATGGACGGATTGTTCAAAATCCAACTGAAGAAATTGAGGTATATTGAAGAAAATAAATTGAAACATGCAATAACTCCTACATCTTTAGTCTTTGAAGAAAATAAATTGACATAGTGCGCAAATTCTAATTTATGTAATGTTGTCACACGATATTCTAGGTGCTTTGTGGTAACACTTTGGAGGCTGGAGTTTTTATCAGTGGATTTCCAACAGTTTCTGGTCCTTTGGAGACATGCCCTTACCCTGAATATTTGAAATCTGGATGGAACTTAAATAATATACTTTCACTGTTGGGGTCTCTTCTTTCTTTTGAAAGCTCCGAAGCTTCACGCAATTTTGCCCCTCGGATTCATGTAGGGATGTGCTTTTCTCCTCTCAACTGGGTAATGACATCACTTTATTGCCTTATAATTACATGCACATGACATTGTTTTTTAGTATCTTTTTAATTTCCTAATGGTTTTCTGGGAGGAAACTTCCAGACCAATTTTAAAATGTAATTAATGAGTCTCTTGTGTTTTTACTTTGCTTTCTAATCATTTGACAAAACAGAAAGTTGAAGAGCACCACTTATACTCATTATCTTACATGCATCTGGGTGGACCTAAAGTGTGGTATAGCGTCCCAGGAAGATTTGCAGTTAACTTTGAAACAATTCAGAAGAAGTATCTCCCAGATCTGTGTGCCAGGCAGCCTGATATGCATGATAATCTGGTGAGTAGTGACATGACTGCTTGTTGTGAAGAATTGTTTTTCTTTGAAAAGTAATAGTGATGTATGCCAAACACACATTTATTTCTCATATTTGTCATAAATTAAGCCTTTCAATCTGTGCATGCTTTTATGATAAATATAATATTATTGGTTATATGAATTCTGTCTCTGTTAGATTATTTATATACTAATTTCTCCCATTTTCAGCCATTATGTCCCAACTATTACCATTTCTGGAAAGTGATTCTCCATCCTGCATGTTTAATGCCAGAATTTCCTATTGTTTTATATCATCTTGTAAATTTGCATTTCAAAAATTTCATTCATCATATAAAACTGGTTTTCATTTACAATTTTGCTTCATATTTGAAGGAAGAATCATTGTATGTTCTTTTGTTGCATCAACCAAAATTGACTTGGGCAATGGGCTCTTAGAGAAGGAGGCATAGGTTTAATTTATACGACTTCTGTTTCTGCTTGCTTAAGCATTTAGCTCTCATTTCTTGTAATCAACCTGGTTTTGCTGTACTAATTGTACTATACGATGTCCTTGTGTCAAGAGTTGTTTTATTTTTCAAATGTAAACAGCACTTTCTGCTCAATGTTCAGCCCAACACAGCCTTGTGCTAAAGTTATGGTCATCCATGAAACCAGCTTCAAAATAAAGCTCAAACTCCCTTAGGCTTCAAGTCTGCCAACTTGTAGCAGCTTCCTATAATGTTTCTTTGCTTGCATTCTTTGTTGATGCAGTGTTTTATAATTATAGCCATCAATTTCCAATTGAGATAATAGAAGTAGAAAATTATTCAACTCGCCCAATTCTCAGTGTGTGGATAGCTTCCTGTCTCCTGAAATATAACGTCTACCTTTGTTTCAAAACACACAAAGGAAACTCCATTTGTTGACATGTGAAACATTGAGGTCTTCATGTGAATATTTGGTACAGGTGATGCAATTATCCTGCTCCATATTGAAGGCAGAGGGTATACCTGTATATCGTTGCGTACAGTATCCTCGTGAGTTTGTTCTTGTCTTCCCAGGAGCATATAATTCAGGATTTGATTGTGGTTTCAACTGTATTGAAGCAGTAAGTTTTACTCCTCTGGAGTGGCTGCTTCATGGACAGAATGTTGTAGAGCTATATTGTGAACAGAGGCGAAAGACAATAATTTCATATGATAAACTTTTGTTGGGAGCAGCAAGGGAAGCTGTGAGGGCACAATGGGAAACTGATTTGTGTATGAAGAGCACGCCAGACAAGTTAACATGTAAAGATGCCTATCAAAGAAATGGGATCTTAGCAAAAGTTTTGGAAGTAAGTCCTTCAGCTCTAAATCCTAGATATAATTAATTTGTCAGTTGACTTCAAGTCCTGTTGGTCATTAACATGTATGCAACCATTTTTCTTGAGAAATGAAAATGATGAAACCATTTTAATATGAAAATGGTAATCATTACTGTGGTATATTTCCTTTTAATATTTAGGCCTTCTCTCCCTCCCTCTTTCATTTCCATTTTTTCTTAATTTCCAGATTTGGCTGCATAGTTTGCTTCTTTCACATTGGATGCCTGACATTCAATCTTATTATATTCGTTTCCTTTGTGTAGTCTCGCGTCAAGAGTGAAAGTTTGAAGAGGGAATTTCTTTGCATTTCTTTGATATCTGGAAGAATGGATGAAAATTTTGATGCCACTTGTAAAAGGGAATGTAGTATATGCCTGCGTGATTTACACTTGTCTGCCATATGTTGTTCATGTTCAGAAGACAAGTTTGCGTGTCTTAATCATGCAAAACAGCTTTGTTTTTGCCCTTGGAGCAACAAAACTCTCCTCTACCGTTACGAAATCAGTGAATTGAATGTTCTTTGTCAAGCTGTGGATGGAAAACTAAGTGCAGTCTATAAATGGGCCAAAGAGGATCTTGGATTAACTGTGCACTCTCTTGCCTCCAAGAGATCAAACCAAACCCCAGAAAATGTTGGTGGTTCAACCCACCCTTCTAAAGACTTGAAGATGAAAGAACCTATGCCCCATACAGGAAGTGATGCATGCTCGGAGTGGAAACAACTTAAATCGCAGGCAATATCAAATGCATCAAAAAGGAAACAAAATGAAGTGGCCTCCCAAGTCAAGGGAACTTCTAGTAGTTCTTATGGCTTTCATTCAAAAATGAAGACAACTTTACTTCAGTCAACAATCCCAGATGAGATAAAAGCAAAAGAGAAAATGCCTCCAAAAAGCATTAGTGGAGGAAAAAATGCTGCTGGCATAAAAAATGATATGAAGGCACTTGCAGGTAAGCGTACAATTTCAAAGAAAGTAGAAGGAGACCCAAAAGTATCTAAGGTTTCTTCAGTTACAAACTCAAATTACTTGTCTTTTCTACAAGAAAACACATTATTTGAAATTTCATCTGATAGTAGTAGCACATCTACGTCTTCAGAATCAGATGATGACACATAAGTAGCACATTATTTGATAGCTCACATTTTGCATATCGGAAAGGAAGTTATTAGAGAGTCCTCTGTATTTTTGTATGAGCGGGATAATCAATTTTTCATGCAAAGAGCAGCACTGGAAAGTTGGATGTGTACATCCATTAAGAATTCCAGATAATTGTTGTTTATAATTACCAAGGTTGGCATGTAACCTAACGTTCTTCAGCAAGTAAACAGAACTATTGGTTCATTTGTATCCTAAGTTTTTTTGTCATTATTGTTGTTGTTGTTTCTCTCTCTCTCCTGCTATATTTTGGTGTTTCTGCATGTTAGCTACAGCACTCCGCAGGTAGTTGTTTTCTTAGACTCTGGCAATAGTTGAATATTGCTAAAATAAAGATTATACTTTTTTCTTGTTACAAATTGTATATGCCTTTGTTTGTTGGGTTTTGTGTTCAAGGTACTATTTTTGAATTTTTAGGTTGTTTTTCATATTTTATTTTTCTTGACACTAAAGTCTAAGGGAAAAAGAATTCTTATGTTGTAGGAGAGCTCTCTTCTCATTTTAGTGAGTGTTCGTTTTGCGTGCAATAATTTTTTTAGTTTTCTTTATTTTTTATGTATGGGCTCCACCATGAATTTGAGTGTGTAAGAGATTTCCTCCTCTCCAATAGCATGAGAAAAGCATTGCCCAAAGTCTAAAGCCCTATGAATTATGGATCTGACATGTAAGCGAAGCTGAGTTCTCAAAAAGTGACCACATTGTATTCATCATGCTTGCTTCAATTTCTTGGGAATTTCTAAACTACCTAGGAGTAGTAGTCTTATCCGTTTTGTAACAGTTTAAATTTAATTTTTAACATGTATAAAATGTGTTTCTAGTAAGGTGGTGTAGCACTTTTAAAATGCGTAAGAATCTCTCCAATTCCTTTCACGCACATCATTCTTGGAGTAATGTTACTGTCAAGAACAAAAACACGAGTATTGCAGGAGTATCAAGTAAGTCAAGCATGAATCTTCGGTATGAGAGTACTAAAATTATTTTCCAAAAATACCCACCTACAGACACAAGTATATCAACACACGCACACACAAAAAAAAGAACTCTTAGCTTTTTTCTTTCCAAATTAAAGGTCCAAGTTGAGAAATTTTTGTATGTACTAAATACGTTAATTGCTTCATTTTATATTAGATAATTACATCAATTATTGTATTAAACAATTATTTCATATGTAGGTGACAATGTATCAATAGTTAATTTGTTTCATTTACAAAGCTTGTATAGTGTATCCTTTTTTTCTTAGCCGTGTGATCAGTTAGCTGTGCATTCTGGCTCATTCTTTTATATGGAAAATCATGCTTTACAACATACTTGTTTCTAGTGTAAGATTGTTTAGTGTCGTCTTTGTAATAATAATTAATAAATTTAGAATTTGTTGATTGAGGGAATACATTTTAGTGGTGCTTATTTTGATATAGTCATTGAAGAAATTTCAGCAATTTTTGTACCTTTTATTAACAAGAAGCAAAAGGTAATAAAACATGTAGGCCTTCTATTTTTTTTTTAAAGAAAAAATTGCATTAAACCTGATCAGAAATATTTTTATCTGTGCTGACTATGTGATCTTCATCTACACAAATAATTTGGTGCAGTTTTAACCTATAGGTCTTTACTAGAACAAGATGGGGGTGTACCTGCAAAGAACTCCTATGCTCAAGTCAGATTTTTTGTAAACAGGTTTTTTCATGTAGAAGAAGAGTGAGGATATTCTTACTACTACAAAAATTCACTACCAACCCACTACCTCCATAATTACCATTGGATCAACATTTTCTCTTTCTTCAAAAACTTTTTAGCATTCTCTCTTTGATCCAATGGTAATTGTGGAGATAGTGGGTTGGTAGTGGATATTTTTTATAGTAAGAATATCTCACTTCGTAGAAGAATACCTTGGGTTAACACATTTATATTTATAGTAGAGAGATGACCGGCTTGGGAGATGCTTTTCTTCGTGGTGAAGGCAACAATCTCTCTTCATTGGTTCTTGTGGGTGGCTTGGAGATAAGTTTGATGCAGAAGTTTGCTTGACGGTGAAGTATGTAGAGAAGTTTGTGGAAAGTAGCTTGCTGAGATGTAGCAGTCTTTGTTGACTTGATCTTTTCTTAATGATGAAGGATTTTAATATGGGCCTTGTATTTTACTATATTTATTCCAGATCAGAATCATCTTAAACTTGTAGCACCACTTAATCAATCAAGAAAGAAATCATAAAATCAATGAGAAGTCTTGTGCATTTGATTGCAAAATCGTTGACAACATGCAACTTTCTCTTTCTATTGTTAGCTAGGACTTTGGAGCTATCAAAAGTTGTTGACAATTCAAAATTCATTTATACATAGGCCATTTTAAAATTGTCTTAGTAGTGTTAAAAGTTTATTGTTTCAAATTGCTCATTTACAAAAGAAATATACAGTCCTACATTACTTGATCAAGGTAAATCAATGAAAATGAAAATTAGAACATGTTCAGTAATTAAGCAAAATATGATACTTTTTTGTTTGTCTATCCGAGCAAAGCGCAGGTTTAAATTTAGTCTTCTAGTAAGAAGAAGGGGAAAGCTGTTCAATCATGTATATTATTTTTGATTAATGGATAACAGAAAAAGAAAAATCTGCTTTAAAATTAACCCATCGTTCTGTTTGAGGGTACATAATTATGATATATGAATAACATCTTTTGAGACTACTCAATAAATTGTACATATTTTTTATTTTATTTTTATAACAATTGTACATATTTTTAAATATATAATGTTATGATTTGATTTAAATGCACATTTTTAAAAATTTAATTTGATTAGAATTCATAATTTTAAAAATGCTTAATATTAGTTTAGCACAAAACAACAGTATATGAAGTTCCATTAATTGTTACATCGGTAGTTTTAAGAAATTTTTTCTAATTTAAACTTGATATTAGTAGTAGAAAAGTTTTGGAATTTTAGCTAACCATAATAATCATTGGATAAGGATTATATTACACTGTATAAGTTACCTTCTCAAATTCGATTGTTATTTAATTATATGAATAGGTAGATATAAGTGAATCGACGACAAAAAATAATATAAAATATAATGTTATTTGTTCAAAAAAGAGAAAACAAATTGATTTTAGCTACTTCGAATACATGATATTGTATTAAGTATTAATCAAAAACTATTACACATGATTTTTTTCATCACTAAAATGTTTTTAGTGGAATTGATTCTCATACAGCACCTAAGTACATTTTACATATAAAAACTGACATTTGATTCAACCTTAATCCGTGCAGTGTCACATCATAATTTGTTCACATTGATATATAATCGGCATAGTTAATATTTTTTTATTTTTTGTTATCTTCTTTCAAGTACTGTTCGTTTAAAATTGAAAATGTATAAAAGTAATATAGTTTTTTTTTTTGAAAATAGAAATATAAAATATTATTATACAAAAATCAAGACTTAAATATCATGGTCAGTTTAGTTACAACATCTTACTTTCGACAGAACATCAATAATTGACGCACGGAACTGCTACATAAACAGGCCCACAAGTAGGTGTGACATCGCATCAAATAATTCGTGTCCTTTGGGACCAAAAAAAGGAGGGGGTAAAAATCCTTCTGAATCCTAAGGTGATCCAGCAATAGAATAACACATGAATCGCACTTGAAATTGGGTGGATTCAAATGCTAATAGGTAGAAAGAATGATTAATGAACGAATAGAAATAGCGGCTCTAAAAATATGATATAATCACAACCCAGCTGAAACCAAATCATGCAACGTGACAATCCCAATCAAGATGTTGTCATCATTTATCACAGGCAAAAACTGGACGGGTGATGGAGGAGCTTCCATCTTCTTCATGGCGTCCACTGCCATAGCATCTGGACCAATAATTCTTGGACCCCTGACATTCAAAAAGAGTGTGATCTCAATATATATCCCTGTTGTTGTGTCCATATGATCTGTCGTGGCCCAAGTATCACATGCGCAAATTAATTCATCTTCATATGGTTCCAACAAGTTAAATGCATAATGTCCTGACTAACCCCCCCCCCCCCCCCCCCCCTCTTCCCAAACAACATGAGCTAAAAAACCAAACAAGATTTCCCATAAATTCCTACTCACTTCCTGATTTAGAGGGTGCAAGAACTCAAGAATAAACTTTTGAACAATAAAAGCAGGTACACAAACTTCTATATGATGATTAAAGAATTGTATATCAAATGTTTGGCAGTCCTCTATTACCTGTTGCACATTTTCCCCACAGTGAGTTTAAAAATGGCCTCCCCGCTAGCTTTGAGAGTACGTCGTAGATCACCATCCGTAAATGTCCCAATCAGATGATGATCGTCATCTATAACAAGCAGGCATCCGCATCCTTTACTCGTCAGCTCCACAAGCTGATCCATAATTAGATCTGATTCCCTGCATATGGGAAGCTCATCCTGCTTCTTCATGACATCTTTTACCTGCGCACAGTTATTATGCAACCACCAATTCCTATCAGAACAAAAGCAATTATATGTCCTTGACCCATTTTTTATCCTTAGGATAGAATTGTTTTTTCTTAATATATATAAAGGGGAAAAAAAGAATGAAGAAAAGGAACAGTTACTGATGGAACCCAGAATAATGGATCTCTGAAACAGAATTTACCAACATCAAATGTAAACAGAACCTCCAAATATATTGATATCTACCGTACCCAGACATTACAGAGACAATGACCATAAATGCAACAAAGAAATAATAGTAAAATGACTATCCATGAAATAAAGAGTAAAACACCAAAGACCTCAACTCACCCTCGAAGCTAACATACCTAGGCTTCAAGAAATCCCCAAATTCCCCACTAAACCAATACTGAATTCATGCCTAACTCACTACACACACTCCCCTCATTTTATCCTACTCTTTAAGAATATTCTAGAAGACTTTCCTAACAAACTAACTAACCCACTCACCACTTTCAAGCCCATCAGTTACAAACTAAAATTCACTCACAATAACCTGCAGCCAACTACCCCATGCACTAATGTCCTTGTCCGTTGCACCAATACTTTATGTAAACAAGAGAAAAGAGACAAGGAAAATCGACAGTTAAATATGCACTCACAGCTACCACCACTACTTCATTCATAGGCCACAAACTATTTAAGAATAAGCATGACTACCACACGAGATTGACTTTACCACAAAAGAAGTACCATAAATCTAATAACTGATGATGGAAACCTATTAATCTCAGTAATTCACTAATGAAATCCAGATTCAACATACTTCTGATTCTGCTATTTCTCTCCAAGAAGATATATCGAATTCGTCCCTTGGCCACAAACAAATTTTACTATGACTTCATGAAGGATGAACGTGCATATACTCTAACATATGATTTCAGTCCCGCTTAGATCTTGGGATCACCATTACTTTGCATTCAAAATAACTTATAAGTAAGCTTAAAAAAAATGGTGTGTTTTTCCATAAAAAATTAAGCAAATCCAAATAAATACTCAGTTCTCATCCCTATCATCTGCAGTATATAACAATCAGAAAACCCATGCGGCAAGTAGAAATAATTTTGCAAGCGCCATCCAAAATAGCTACATTTGAAAACAAATAATATATACTTGTTGTACCCAAGAAACCTCATTAAACAGGACTTATCGAGATAACAGTAGACACACACCAAATGACAAACACCTAACATGCAAACATAACTGATTCAGAAATTAACATGTAAAATGACAAAACAATTTTAACTCAAGCTAATGCATAAGAAGACAAACAACATTTATCACAAACCAAAATCAAAATCAACAGTTAAACGAAACAGAAAACAGACCTTGAAGATAAGACTCTTGCCGATCTTCCCGGCGGGATGGTTACAGGCATACTCTTCCTTGGTTAGATTCCTTGCTCCCATGAGCGCGATGGCCACAGTGTCCCCGAAAACCATCTGAATCGCCGTCGAAGTCACCGGAGCAAGGTTGAAGGGGCAGAGCTCCCTCTCTAACGGCAAATGCACATTCATATCGCACATCCCCGCCAACGCGCTCCCTTCCACGGAGGTCACCGCGATCAACCGCGCCCCCTTGGCCCTGGCGCACGGCACAAGGCGCAGCAGCTCCTCGGTGGCGCCGGATTTGCTGAGGAGGACGAGCACGTCGCGATCGGAGAGGATTCCGATGTCGCCGTGGAGGGCGTCGACGGGGGAGAGGAAGGCGGAGCGGACGCCGAGGGAGACGAGTGTCTGCGAGATCTTATTGGCGACGAAGCCGGATTTTCCGACGCCGGTGAAGAAGACGGTGCCGGCGGCATCGAGGAGGGCGCGTGTGAAGGCTAGGGTTTGGGAATGGTCGACGTTGTCGAAGAAGAAGTTGAGGTGGCTCTGCTGTGATTTGAATAGATCGGCGAGGGTGTTTTCGTCAATGTGTGTGTTAATGCCTTGTTTGGATGGTGTGTTAGAAAAGCCATTCGAAAATGCAGGTAGAGAACCCATCGAGATTTGAGAAAGAGAGAAAGAGAGAGTAGAAGCTTGAGAAGAAAGAGGGTTCGGGTTCCTCTGAAACGAGAATAAAGGTGCATGCTCTGTCTCTGTTTCATTACAATAATACTAACGGAGGTTTTGGAGTTCCGTTAATTTTTACGCGGTAACAAAATGAGACCCATTTCAACGCCACTGTAAGTGTCGGTGGCGCCTTTAAAATTAAAGTTAAATTATTTACTTTTTTGTAAAATTTCCATTGTTATCGATTAGGCCCAAAGCCCATTGTACAGCCCAATTGAGCAAAGCCATATCTTTCTCTTTGGGCTAACGTTTCAATTTGTGTTTCTACAATTGCACAAACGGCTTCACATAAAAAAGAAGAGATTATTTACAACAACAAAAAAACAGAGAGAGAGATTATACTAAATATAAGAATTTTTAAATACTTAAATATCTATACCTTACTACCCCTTCAGTTACATTAATCCTTTTTTTTAATGTATTTTTCATAAATAAGCTTTCCATCGATGTAATGCGAAATCAGATATATTTTACTAGATTAATTTTTTTATAAATTATTTATTAATCTAATATGAATAAATAAAAAATATATGTGTTTAAGTCGCTGGTATCCCCATAAACATTTTGCAGAGAATGACACATGATAGTACATTTAATTTGGGGTGATGCGTTTCTGCACACTTCTCGTATACATTTCACACGAATTAGATTAATAATTAATTTGTTAAAAGAATTAATGGGAAATATGTCATTTGACACCGATCACACCTCTTTTCGTACGGGTATAGTTAGAGACTTAGAGTTAGTGTTTTGTTTTAGAGTTTTATTAATCTCCTTCCACATAAGATAGTTATTTTATGTGGTAGAGAGAAAATGAGTGGGTCTCATCATTGTAAGAAAAAAAAGAAAAAAATATAGTGCGAAAATCGAAGTGAGAGAAAATGAGATAAGTTACCTTAGGTGAAAGGAGTGTAATATTTCCCTTGGTTTTATCATTATTATTATTTTTTGATTGCTCTAGTAGTATAATTATTTCCAGCCACAGTTAAAAACTAATTTCTTGAAGTCGAGAGATTACCGACGTAGATATAGTATTTCTATAAACAAATTGTTTTATTAATTTTTTTTATTGGTATTTCTCTTTTAAGGAAAATTGTTTTAGAATTAATTTTTTATTAATTCTATAAACTTGCCGACATATATACGGTTAAAATTATTTATCTCATATAAAATAAGATAAACATAACTCTTTCTTCGTAGTATCATTTTTTTCAAGGAAAAAACCAATCTAAGAGGACAAGGACATGTCACGTCGGTTACGAAGTACCAAGTAACTGACCGTGTAGTCTTGTAGTGCATAAGGAGAAATTCTGATTGGAGTCCACGTGAACACGATTCTTCGATGGAATACAAACAAACGATACTAGGAACAAAGGGTTATGTTGATCCCTAAACAATTTTCTTACACATTCAAAAAAAAAAATTGGGTTATATCACTTTTTTTTCTCTCTTCTTTACCCGTAAATTTTATTTATAATTTTATTTTTATAATATAAAATAACTATTTTTCTACAATATAAAAAAAAAAAATTTCCATAAAGAAAACCACTTGTTTTTCCTTATCGTTATAGTACAATGTGAAAAACGAAACAAACAGCATCGTCCCCTTTCCCTTGTCCTCCACACTCTTGTCCAAGCTTTTTCGAGTTGCATTTGGATGGATTTTTTTTCTCCGAAAATTATTTCTTTTAAAAAATAAGCACTTTTCAAAAAAAATTCTATTTGAATGTTTGCTTTGTTAAAAAAATAAAAGTCATAAAAAAAATTAAAAACTTATTTGTTTTTTAAGCTAAAAATTTTAATTTAAAAAAAAAACAGAAATCAAAAGCCAAATATTTTTTTATAAATTTAAATAATTTTAATTTTTGTAAAAAATACATTTAAAATAAGTAAGACATGAAAAAAAAAAGTTGGGAAGGCAATCCAAACAGCCTTTTGTCATTCTAATCAAGTTAGCTTTGAGACTAGTTATTGATTGTGTGAGGCTGAGAGCGTCGTATCATTAAATATATATATATATATATATATATATATATATATATATATATATATATATATATTAAAAATAAGGAAAAAATTATTCTTTTAACAAATAAGGAAAAAATTGTTCTCATATTACATCAGATAAATTTTTCTTTCTACACACATTTCGATAACTATGCCACCTTTTTTTTTTTCAGATGGTTGAGTCCACAAGTTTGTCTCTATGACATGAGATAATTTATCTCATTTAACTATGTATTTTTTTTATAAGCTAGAAGTATTCTCATTTAACCTCCTCCAGTTACTTTGTTCTCGGAATACGGCCTCAAAGGTTATCCCCTCATTAGAGCAACAGGTTAAGCTTCACACTAATCCCCCATTCGAGGATATACTGGCCCTTAATTTTTTTTAAAGAATTTGCATGAAGCAGGGTTTGCACTTGACTCAAGAAAATTCTTGGAAGCTCAGTTGTCAACTGAGCTACCATTAGGGGTTAACTATGTGATTTTTTTATTTTAAAAAAAAATTAATTTAGATACTGATCTGGATAATTATATAGGCTCATGAGGTTTAAGGCCCATAAAGGACCCAAGAGGCGCAAAAGTCTCATAGCGCGAGATGCATGCATCTTAAAGGCTAAGGAAAGACTCTTTAACAGGTTGAGATCCACCGGCATTAAAACCAATACAGCTGAGACAACTCCAACTCATCACCACTCTAAGAAGACAGACAAATATATAGACTTGTAGCCAGAAATACACCAGCAGAGACAAATAAGTCTGCTACCTATAACATCCAATGAGAAGATATGCCGCCTAACAAATGCGGCATAAAGCTTGCTATAAATATGAATGGTACAAATCGAGGCATAATTGTTTGATTCCCATTAAACATAACATAAATCTAGCATTGATACTGACTTGAGCATCGAAGTGTCTTTGTAGGTACCCCAGTCATTTCCATTGCGCCAGAAGTATTCACCAACCATCACATACACAGTGAACGTCTCAAGCCCACAAAGTACTGTTTACAACCCAAAGTCTTCATCTTTCAACCGTGTATAATTTAACTCAATTCATATTGGGCTGGTCTGATCAGATACATAATATCAAACAAATGGAGACTTGTTGCATTTAATAATGTATTGTTATATTATTTAATAAATCTATCATTTTATATGATTATTAATATAATCAAACTTATTATATACATTAATAATATAAAATTAAAATAAAATCAAATGTTTGATTAGATGAAATTGAGCAATGTAACATGGGTCAAAGATTACCTTTAAGCAAGAATAGTGATAAAAACATTCTTGAAAGAAATATTATTATTTTTTTTAATTTAGTTCCTCAGAAATTAAATAAATTTTGATTTAATCTTTTCATTAACTCATTGCTAGTAAAAGACATTGGCTTTTTTACCTTTTTGTCCCTCATTAATTATTTAATAATCATTTTGTCCCTTATTCAGAACTATCTAGCAATCTGTCCCTCTTTAATCGATTAAGCCAAAAATTTAATCGATTAAATGGTCAAAATAAGTAAAAATCGTTGACTTGAAGATTTAGTCGATTAAATCTCCCTATTTAATCGATTAAATCTCCCATGCATAAGGTTGTTATTTTGATAAAGAGGAAGATTTAATCGATTAAGTTGAAGATTTGATCGATTAAATCTTCATTTGACCATTTAATCGATTAAATATTCAATTTAATCGATTAAAGAGGGACAGATTGATAGATAATTTGTAATAAAGAACAAAATAATTATTAAATAATTAATGGGGGACAAAAGGGAAAAAAAGCCAAAAGAAATTACATGGCAGTTTGAGGACTGGTGGCAAAAAAGGTATATATATTTGTTAACCCAAAATAAAAAAATAGTTGAAGGCTCACTTAGACATAGATGTGAAAAAAATTAAGAAGCTGGCTGTTATGTCATATCATGAGATCTTAAGAATGACAAATAAGCATTTTATCTTTTTTAACTAACGGTGAGTTAAAGGAGAAACAAAATTGAGACCAATTTTGTTTACCGGGGGATTAAATTATAAAAATTAAATTAAAAAAGAATAAATTAAAAATAAAAAAGATTAGTGAGGGATCTGAATAAGGTTTTTATCTTCTTAAAAACCCTATTCTCATCGACTTCTATATTCATAAATACTCATAAAAAGTATATTTAGAAAGGAAGTTATAGATTTTTTTTAAATATGTTGAGCTTATAAATCTACAGTACAGTTTATATCATATTATTTATTTTAAATAAAATAAATAAAATAATTATTTTAATTATTTTGATAAATAAAATAATATTATTTTATTTATTTTTTAATTATTAAATGTCTAATAGACTTAAATAGGTTAACATATTAAGGTTTTTATTTTTTAAATATAAAATAAAAAAACTTATAATTTGAGTTTATGCAAGTTAATAGACTAAGTCAAGCTTAAACTTAATAGACTTAGACTAAGTCAAACATAAACTATTTTATACAAACTTAATTTATTTAAGGCAAAGCTCAACGGAGCCCATTTACATGCCAACAGGGAGCATTTAAATAAGACCACATATATGCGCTTTTTATATGTGTAAATGAGTTCCTATTTCTCTTTGACCGGTTCCTTTGCTTGGTGTGATTAACTGATTGTTTTTCTTCAAAGAGAACTTTTCGTGCGAGAAGCTAGTTGAGCAATTTCCTTTCATTAAAAAAATATAAATAAAAATCTTGATGGAAATCTTTTACTGGGCATTTGCTTTCCCTCCCCCTCGTACCAGACACATCACAGATATATGTCTTATTTAGCATTAAAGTAATGGAAAATGAATAAATTTGTACTATTTTTGGTACAAAAACAAAAATGACACTCTGCATGCATTTCTTTATTATTGTGTCCTTTTCAAACTCTCTATTATTGAGGGAATGAAACTGTTACTCGTTAGAAGATGGGATGGTAGCTAGGGACCTTTTGTATTGTATGCTCACAACTTCCCATGATCACTATT